GTGTGTTCGGGCTGCAGCACCAGACCGCAAAGCCAACAGGCTGAAGGCTGGCAAGCTGCGATTGTGTCTGCTGAGCGGACTTGGCGGCCGAGCCCCTGCTGTGTGCCGGTAACGGCACCTCAGGCTCATACATTTACGCCCAAGCAAGGGGCTGTCGGTGGCAGGTCGTGGACCTCCCGACTACGTGTAACAGCCAATGACTCTTCACCATGTCTGCTAGGTTCCAGGGAGACACCGTCTCTTCAAAAGGTTATGAGCCCCAGCGTCCTGCCTCCCGTGCTCTGACAAGCATAGCTCCCACCGCATCAGAACTGCTGCAACAAGCACAGCTCTCACCACGTTGGCACTACCCATCAATTATCACACATGCCGCCCTAGCACCGGCCTGTACGGATATATGCAGGGGGGGCCCGCCCTTTTCCGGCTCTGAGGAAAGCCGGCGGGCTTGCAGAGGTAGCCCAATAACGAAAATGCTACAGCTCCAAAATATATGTACAGTAGGCGTGGTAGGTGAGCCCCGGAACCCGGCATGCACTGTGCACCGATGACCTAGAGCACAACTGTTGCACGCAACGCGTCTGCTGCGACTGTTGCGTTTGTCGCTCTTGTCGCCATTGTAGCGGCTGTCGCCATTGTAGCGGCTGTCACCGTTGTCGCCGTTGTCGCCGTTGTCGCGACAGTCGCCGTTGTCGCCGTTGTCGCCGTTGTGGCAGTTGTGGCAGTTGTCGCCGTTGTCACCGTTGTCGCCGTTGTCGCCGTTGTCGCAGTTGTCGCCGTAGCTCATATGTTATGAGCGGAGGCCTATCCCGAGTTCGCTGTCCGTCCGCTGTCCGTCTGCTGTCACCGTCGCCGTAGCTCATATGTTATGAGCGGAGGCCTATGCCGAGTTCGATGTCCGGTTGTCTGTCCGTCCGGAGCGTTTTGGAAATTCCTGTCGTCCTCGCTGTCCGTCCGCTGTCCGTCTGCTGTCGCCGTCGCCGTAGCTCATATGTATGTTATGAGCGGAGGCCTATGCCGAGTTCGATGTCCGGTTGTCTGTCCGTCCGGAGCGTTTTGGAAATTCCGGGTCGGGAGCGTGCCGTACGCGCTTAAGACCGCGCCGAAAAGAACGGAAGGTCGCCGGCTCGATCCCTACCGCGATTATGTTTTATGTTTCATATATGTGCATATATGCATATATGTATATGCGATATGCAATATGCAGCGATATGCAGCGATATGCGATATGCAGCGATATGCAATTTGCGATATGCGATATGCGTGCGGTATGTGATATGCGATATGCCATATGCAGCGATATGGTGCAGCGATATGGGATATGCGATATGCGATATGCAATATGCGATATGCAATATGCAATATGCGATATGCAGCGATATGCAATTTGCGATATGCGATATGCGTGCGGTATGTGATATGCGATATGCCATATGCAGCGATATGGTGCAGCGATATGGGATATGCGATATGCGATATGCAATATGCGATATGCAATATGCAATATGCGATATGCAATATGCAATATGCGATATGCAATATGCAATATGCAATATGCGATATGCAATATGCGATATGCGATATGCAATATGCGATATGCAATATGCAATATGCGATATGCAATATACGATATGCGATATGTTATACATATGCGCATGCATCTGCATTATGCAAGCATACACAGTGTGCAAGCATGTGCCATATGCGATCTGCAAGCATATGCGATCTGCAAGCATCTGCCAAATGCAAGCATTTGCGATCTGCAAGCATATGCGATCTGCAAGCATATGCGATATGCAAGCATATGCGATATGCGATCTGCAAGCATATGTTATGCTGCGCTATGCTATGCTATGCTATGCTGTGCTGTGCTGTGCTCTATAAGCATATGCGATCTGCAAGCATATGCGACCTGCAAGGATATGCCATATGCGATCTGCACGCATATGCGATCTGCAGGCATATGCGATCTGCAAGCATATGCGATCTGCAAGCATATGGCAAATGCAAGCATTTGCGATCTGCAAGCATATGCGATCTGCAAGCATATGCGATCTGCAAGCATATGCGATCTGCAAGCATATGCCATATGCGATCTGCAAGCATATGCGATCTGCAGGCATATGCGATCTGCAAGCATATGCAATCTGCAAGCATATGCTGTCTGCAAGCATATGCGATCTGCAAGCATATGCGATCTGCAAGCATATGCGATCTGCAAGCATATGCGATCTGCAAGCATATGCTGTCTGCAAGCATATGCGAATTCTGCAAGCATATGCTATCTGCAAGCATATGTGATCTGCAAGCATATGCCATGTGCGATCTGCAAGCATATGCGACCTGCAAGCATATGCGATCTGCAAGCATATGCGATCTGCAAGCATATGCGTTCTGCAAGCATATGCTGTCTGCAAGTATATGCGATCTGCAAGCATATGCCATTATGCGATCTGCACGCATATGCCATTATACGATCTGCAAGCATATGCCATATGCGAACTGCAAGCATATGCGATCTACAAGCATATGCCATTATGCGATCTGCAAGCATATGCCATTATGCGATCTGCAAGCATATGCCATTATGCGATCTGCAAGCATATGCCATATGCTATCTGCAAGCATATGCCATATGCGATCTGCAAGCATATGCCATATGCGATCTGCAAGCATATGCCATATGCGATCTGCAAGCATATGCCATATGCGATCTGCAAGCCTATGCCGTCTGCAAGCATATGCGATCTGCAAGCATATGCCGTATGCGATCTGCAAGCATATGCCATATGCGATCTGCAAGCATATGCTGTCTGCAAGCATATGCGATCTGCAAGCATATGCTGTCTGCAAGCATATGCGATCTGCAATCATATGCGATCTGCAAGCACACGTGATCTGCAAGCATATGCGATCTGCAATCATATGCGATCTGCAAGCACACGTGATCTGCAAGCATATGCGATCTGCAAGCATATGCCATATACGACCTGCAAGCATATGTCATCTGCAAGCATATGCGGTCTGCAAGCATATGCAATCTACAAGCATATGCCATTTGCAAGCATATGCGATTTGCAAGCATATGCAATCTGCAAGCAAATGCGATCTGCAAGCATATGCGATCTGCAAAGAGATGCAGTCTGCAAGCATATGCGACCTGCGCCATATATGCAATCTGCAAGCATATGCGATCTGCAAGCATATGCAATATGCAAGCATATGCAATATGCAAGCATATGCAATATGCAAGCATATGCAATATGCAAGCATATGCAATATGCAAGCATATGCGATCTGCATGCATATGCGATCTGCAAGCATATGCAATATGCAAGCATTTGCAATATGCAAGCATTTGCAATCCGTATGCACCCGAACGTCCGGATGCACCCGAACGTGTCCGGACCCGGACGAGAGCTACGGCACCCTCGGGACCGCAGGGACCGCGCCTCGTCGCCGTAGCTCCTACGAAGTAGGAAAGCGGAGGCCTTAGGCCGATTCGCCGTCCGTCCGTCCGTCCGTCTCTCCGTCTGTCTGTCCACCACGTCGCTGGTTCAATCCCCAGCGCGCGCGCGTCTTTTTTTTTGCGCGCTTTTTTTTTCTTTTTTTTTCTTCATATGCTTCATATGCTTCATATGCTTCATATGCTTCATATGCTTCATATGCACATATGCACATATGCTTCATATGCACGTATGCACGTATGCACGTATGCACGTACGCACATATGCACATATGCACATATGCACATATGCACATATGCACATATGCACATATGCACATATGCACATATGCACATATGCACATATGCACATATGCTTCATATGCACATATGCACATGTGTTTCATATGCACAAATGCTTCATATGCAAGCATATGCCACATGCGATGTGCAATCATATGTGATCTGCAAGCATATACGATCTGCAAGCATATACGATATCCAAGCATATGCGATCTGCAAGCATATACCAGATGCGAGCTGCAAGCATATGCCACATTCGATGTGCAAGCATATGCGATATGCAAGCATATGCGATCTGCAAGCATATGCAATCTGCGAGCATATGCCACATGCGATCTGCAAGCATATGCCACATTCGATGTGCAAGCATATGCGATATGCAAGCCTATGCGATCTGCAAGCATATGCGATCTATGCTATGCTGTGATATGCCGTACGCGCTATGCTATGCTACGCTATGCCGTACGCGCTATGATATGCCGTACGCGCTTGCGACAGCGCCGTGCAACGCGCAATTTAGCGTGCAATTCAGTGTGCAATTCAGCCCACATGGCTCAGATATGCACATATGCACATATGCTTCATATGCACATATGCACATGTGTTTCATATGCACAAATGCTTCATATGCAAGCATATGCCACATGCGATGTGCAATCATACGTGATCTGCAAGCATATACGATATGCAAGCATATACAATCTGCAAGCATATGCGATCTGCAAGCATATGCGATCTGCAAGCATATGCGATCTGCAAGCATATGCGATCTGCAAGCATATGCCAGATGCGATCTGCAAGCATATGCCACATTCGATGTATGCACATATGCTGTAGCAGCTGACCGCTGAAAAGGTCTCTCGAGTTGCTGGCGGTCGCGCTCTGCGCGTATTTATAGCACCGTATTGTGTATCGGCTGCTACATATGCACATATGCACATATGGCACATCTGCACATATGCACATATGCTTCATATGCAATCATATGTGATCTGCAAGCATTCGATCTGCAAGCATATGCGATCTGCAAGCATATGCGATCTGCAAGCATATACCAGATGCGAGCTGCAAGCATATGCCACATTCGATGTGCAAGCATATGCTGTCTGCAAGCATATGCGATCTGCAAGCATATGCTGTCTGCAAGCATATGCCACATGCGATCTGCAAGCATATGCCACATTCGATGTATGCACATATGCACATATGGCACATCTGCACATATGCACATATGCTTCATATGCACATATGCACATATGCCACATTCGATGTGCAAGCATATGCGATCTGCAAGCATATGCGATCTGCAAGCATATGCGATCTGCAAGCATATGCCAGATGCGATCTGCAAGCATATGCCACATTCGATGTGCAAGCATATGCGATATGCAAGCATATGCGATCTGCAAGCATATGCAATCTGCAAGCATATGCCACATTCGATGTGCAAGCATATGCGATATGCAAGCCTATGCGATCTGCAAGCATATGCAATCTGCAAGCAGATGCAGTCTTCTGTTACATAACAGTAATGCCGTACACGCTTCATACACGCTTCATATGCACATATGCACATATGCACCTATGCTTCATATGCACATGCGCACATGTGTTTCATATGCACAAATGCTTCATATGCAAGCATATGAATCGTGCACGTCAATATGAAATGTGCAGCTTCATATGCTTCATATGCTTCATATGCACATATGCACATATGCACATATGCTTCAGATGCACAGATGCACAGATGCACAGATGCACAGATGCACAGATGCACGGATGCACGGATGCACGGATGCACGGATGCACAGATGCACAGATGCACAGATGCACAGATGCACAGATGCACAGATGCACAGATGCACAGATGCACAGATGCACAGATGCACATATGCACATATGCACATATGCACATATGCACATATGCACATATGCACATATGCACATATATGCACATATGCACATATATGCACATATGCACATATGCACATATGCACATATGCACAAATGCTTCATATGCAAGCATATACCGCATTCGATGTGCAAGCATATGCGATATGCAAGCATATGCGATCATAGCTATGCTATGCTACGCTATGCTACGCTATGCTATGCTACGTGCTACGCTATGCTACGCTATGCTACGGAGCTACGGCCCACTCGCGCGAACAGCGCGCTCTAGTCCGGTTGACTGTCCGGAGCGTTTTGGAAATTCCGGGTCGGGAGCGTGCCGTACGCGCTTAAGACAGCGCAGAAAAGAACGGAAGGTCGCCGGTTCGATCCCCAGCGCAAATATGTTTTATGTGTTTCATATTTCATATATGCAGCGATATGCGATATGCAGCAATATGCGATATGCAGCAATATGCGATTTGCGATTTGCGATTTGCGATTTGCGATATGCGGTATGCGATATGCGATATATGCCATATGCAGCGATATGCGATATGCAATATGCCATATGCAATATGCGATATGCGATATGCAATATGCGATATGCAGCAATATGCGATTTGCGATTTGCGATATGCGGTATGCGATATGCGATATATGCCATATGCAGCGATATGCGATATGCAATATGCCATATGCAATATGCGATATGCGATATGCGATATGCGATATGCGATATGCAATATGTTATGTATATGCGCATGCATCTGCATTATGCAAGCATACGCAGTCTGCAAGCATACGCATATGCAATCTGCAAGCATATGCCATATGCGATTTGCAAGCATATGCCATATGCCATATGCGATGCCATATGCGATCTGCAAGCATATGCGATCTGCAAGCATACGCCATATGCGATCTGCAAGCATGTGCGATCTGCAAGCATATGCGATCTACAAGCATATGCCATTATGCGATCTGCAAGCATATGCCATCATGCCATCTGCAAGCATATGCCATCATGCCATCTGCAAGCATATCCCATTATGCGATCTGCAAGCATATGCCATTATGCGATCTGCAAGCATATGCCATTATGCGATCTGCAAGCATATGCCATTATGCGATCTGCAAGCATATGCCATTATGCGATCTGCAAGCATATGCCATTATACGATCTGCAAGCATATGCCATTATGCGATCTGCAAGCATATGCCATATGCGATCTGCAAGCATATGCCATTATGCGATCTGCAAGCATATGCCATTATGCGATCTGCAAGCATATGCCATTATGCGATCTGCAAGCATATGCCATTATGCGATCTGCAAGCATATGCCATTATACGATCTGCAAGCATATGCCATATGCGATCTGCAAGCATATGC